AAAAAAAAAAAAAAAAAAAAAAAAAAAAAAAAAAAAAAAAAAAAGAAGTTTTTGCTTTAAAAAAAAATAGTATGTAAAGAAAACCTCCAAAGGCCTTTAAAATATTTTAAATGGTGTGTTAATTAAATAGAATTACTGGTACGAAACACACTTTTCCCCAATAATACAATTATAGTATTTTTCAAACCTCAGACTATAAACAATAACTATAGCAGCAGGACAAATAAAATTAAAGCACTAAAAACAAATTCATCCCCTTATGCAATGGTAATGAACTGAATTAACTGATTTTATTCCATTGCCCAACACACACCAAGTGAAATGATATTTCATATATAAATTAAATAGTTAAAAAATTACATTCTTAATCAAAGAATGCTATTTCCAAACTTCTCTAAAATGATCATGCCAAGGTTACAGAAAAACAGAAAGCTGCAGAAGGTAGAGGAATTGTTGGGGTTTTTTTTGGGCGGGGGGGGGAGATCTTTTGACCAAAGATCCACCTACAAGGCTGAGAATGCAGAGGGTAAACTACCCATGCCATTTAGAGTGCAAAAAACCTCCACGATATGAGATATCTGCATTTAGAACACTGGCATTATTTTCTGTTTTTGCTTTTCATTACTGAAGTAGATTTAAGTGCAAACATGTGGCTGTAAAATGCCCATGAAAGGCCAATGACACTTAGCACTTTCGTCACCCTAAACCCATTCCAGCAAGTAATGTTTGCCAATAAACAGAAAGTACAGCACAATATTACAAAAGAGCTGCTTCTAACCCAGCATACACACACCAATACATGTGCACACATGCACACGCACACACGCACATGCCCGTGCATGCACATGCACAGACAACACCACACAGAATACATACACTACAACAAACCACATGCACACACCACACCACATACATACATGCAAACACACACCACACATAAACATGCACACACAGGCTCAAACCAGCGTACTTCCAGGCAATCTGCAGCTTTGAGTGATACTATTTAAAAAGACTGCTATGCCACCCAGTGGGTGAAGAGAGCATTTTCCACAAAGGAAATTTCTCTAGGTGAGTAGATTCCAGGGCAACCAAGATTTACAAAACATTATTAACAAGGCAGTGATTATTCTCTTTACAAAAAGAACTATTCAATTCACAAAAGTAAGAAAAAAAAACAACTCTTCTAGGATACTGACAGAAGATAACTTCTGCACTAAAAAAAATACAGATGTGGCTGGATTAAAAACACACACAAGATTAATCAAAGACCAGCCCTGTCGCCATCTGCATGACTCTGGCTGATTCACAGGGAAAGTCTGAGCACAAAGCCTTCACTTTAAAATGAGGGCTTAGGCTCCAGATGACCCAGTGACTCCTCACATCCTCAAATCCAGGCCATTCTTTTCTCCAAAGTTTGGATTCCCAGACACTACTCCAAGGTTCCTGAGTTGTAATATTTGAGGGTTGAACCTAGGAATTTATATATATGTGTATACATATATATATATAAATTTTTTTTTTTAAGTCCTGAGATGATACGTTTCAGGTCAAAAGACCTGGAATTGGTATAAAATAATTAAAAATAAAAAACAAAGCCAATCTCCCAGATTTCACGGCTACAGCAGGTGACGTCAGCCTTTTCAAGCAGTTAAAGTCAACGTATCAAATAGCACCCCCAGGAGCGGTGGGGCAGGAGACGGCCCAATGCTGTTAACATCTTCCCCAGAAGCACTACTCCTAAGTCACATTCTTAGAAGAATTCAACAATAAAAGGTGTTTTCTGCCAAAGGAACAAATATGGGGAGGTGGCATCTACAAGGAGAGAGACTGTCATGAAGGTCACTGGTGTGCTGGAGAAGGCCTGAGCTGAAGCGGGGAGCTGCTCGCATTATATCTTGAGCTGGTCCTGCCTGACCCCCATGCATGGCATTTGGGAAAGGGGACAGTGCAGGATCCTTTGTCCTTCAGCATCAAGGGGACTTTTCAAGTAAATGACAACTCATGAATTAAAAGATGGCTTTCCTTTCCCTCCCCACCCCCTAGACAGGGCATAAAAAGAATGCTCAGTGTTATGTCACCTTATTTCAATTATTCTTTTTTTTTTTTTTTTTCAGAGGGGGAGGCATGGCTGGCCTGTACTCAGACTGTGTGTTATAATACCACACTCTAACCAATAGAGCTAACTGGCCAGCCTCAACATGAGAAGGAAAAAAAGATAAAGAACATTAATACTCCCAGTTTAACCTTTCATGAAAAAACTCCCATGGAGAACACAGCAGCCAACATGGGGAAAAAAAAAATCAGTGTGAATCAGAACTATAAGAAAACAAGTTAAGTGGAAATATGCAGAAATCCTAAATACTAATAAATTTTTATAATCATAATATAGCTATCATTTACTTAGTGCTGAAAGTGCCACGCTACAGACATGCAAAGACCTTAATACCAATTATTTAACTTAATCTTCATTATTATGTGAAAAGCAAGATATCAGGAAATATTAATATCTTCACCTCCCAGAGAAGGAAAATGGGGCTTAAAGATACTAAGTAACTAACTCAACCTAATCCCAGAAGAGGACCTACGGCTTGGATTCAGGTCTGTAAATCCTCTCGGGAGAGCTCTTTCCAATTTACAAAACCTCTAAAACACTGACCCGCCACCATGCACTCGCTCCCCTTTCAGCCACAGCAAGTGATTAAAACACACGAGCAGATGTTGTCAGTGTGTTAACACCATCTGGCTCAAAATATATTCCACAGTTGTCTCCAACAGAAATGCAACGCCCCTCCTCACTGTCCCCTCAGGGACCCCACAGCCCCTCCTCACCGTCCCCTCAGGGATCCCACACCTACTCCTCATTGTCCCCTCAGGGACCCCACAGCCCCTCCTCCCTGTCTATTTACAGACTCCAAAACCAATACTATCCCCTCACAGACCCCAAACCCCTTCCTCACTATCTTCCCAGAGACCCCAAACCCAATACTCAGTGTCTCCTCACAGATCCCACACCACTCGCTAAGTGTCTCCTCGCAGACCCCACACCCCCTATTTGATGTCTATTCACATACCCCACAGTGCCTGCTCATTGACCACTATTCTATAGCTCAGGCCCAGTCTCTTGGCTTGGACGGCATTTGCCACGTGGCTACTTCACTCCTCATGTCTAATTCTACTCACTCAAATATAGGGATCCACACCCAGTGGCCCTCATCTATGAAGCTGCCCTCCTGCCATCATCGACAGCATTTCTTCTGTGCCTCTGTCTTTCACTGGAATTCTTTGCTTGTACATTTCACCAGTACACTAAGTTCTCAGGAACTGGATCCAAGTCCGATTCACAACATGTGTCCTCATGTGTATGCAGTAACCAGCACAGAGACCCCATATGTGGTAAGTGTCCAGATAGTAAAAGAATAGGTCAATGAATTACCCACTCAGAGGCCTCACAGGAATATCATGAGTATTTTCAGCAGTCAACTACTTTCTTATCACTTGTGGGGCTAAACTGAGGTAAGTGAGCCATACACCCAGACAGCAAGCACGAAGAACTGCAGGCAGAAAGCACTAGATGCTTTGTTCCTGCAAAAATCTGTCAAAAATCCTTCTCTGGCCATAGCTCAGGCCACATTTTCCTAGTAGAACACGAGAGGTTAAGAATACAGCTTGTGATCAGAGAGACTGAGATCAGAAACCAGACTCTTGCATGCAAAAC